TAAATACTTGAAGCAAAGAAGTCCCAAAGAGAGAGAATACGTTCATACTCACCAAGTTCCCAAGAAGAAGAATATAGGAGATACAATGGAAGGAGGCATACTAGGCACACCAACACTCCAAGAAGAAACAACATCAAGAATCCAAAGTTTTATAGAGACAATGATCTAGAAATATACTTGGATTAGGAAGCTAAAGTAGGCCAAATTTTCAATGTAAACCCAATAGGGGACTAGGAATAAGTAGACTTAGTGGTAGTTGAATTTGAAGGGTATGTCATGGCATGGTGACATAAGGTCTGCAATGATAATTACTAAGAGGCACCCTCAACTTCTTGGATGGACATTAGACATTTAATACGCATTAGATTCGTTTCTTTCTACTATAGGAGGGAGCTCCTGTTGAAGCTCCAACGACTTCAATAGAGAAACATGTGTGTGAATGATTACTTTTAAGACGTTATAATCTTTGCTACTTAGAGCTAGTATGCATGATGAAACCAATGAGTCTAAGGTAGTTAGGTTTGTTAGTGGTCTTAGAAGAGAAATTCAGGACTTAATAAAATTATATAAGTACTCCTCCATAGAAAACATTTTACACATTTCCCTTAAGATTGAAACTTAACTAAAAAGAAAGGATGGGTCTAGGAGGAGTTATTTGCATAATGACTATTATAGTTCAAATTGGAAGAACAAAGGAAAGGAAACAGGAAAATGATTTGTTAATAGTAAGATAAATGTTGGGTCAAGTCCAGAAAGACCTTGACAATACCCAAAGAGAAAATATTTTTCACACACATTGTCTTATTAATGACAAATTGTGTTCACTCATCATTGATGGAGAGGTTGTGTAAACGTGGCTAGCATGAAGGTAGTAGACAAGTTTGGTCTACCTACTACTCATCATGTCAAGTCTTATAAGCTTTTGTGTCTTAGTGAACAAGTTGAGATCGAGGTCAATAAACAAGTCCTCATTAACTTTGCAATCGGGAATTATAAGACAAGGTTTTTTGTGATGTTGTGTCAATAGAAGCATTTCACATTTTATTAGGTAGGTCGTGACAATTTGACAAACAAACTTTTCATAACGATTATACCAATAAGTTTTCCTTTATCTTCCAAGGGCGTAACATCATTTTGAAACCCCTCCCCCTCAAGAAGTTAGTAAGGACCTAGAAAAAATGTAAAAAAAAGAGAGAAGAAGAAAAAGAAAAAAAAAAGAGGAAAAAAGAAAAGGAAGAGAAAGGGTCGACTTCAAAGGCGAAGGGCATAATGATCTTCCACAAGGGGGTTAAGAGGGTACTTCTAGCTCAAAAACCTCTCCTCTTAGTCCTCCTCTAGGTTCTTCCCCAATATTCCATGAGCAATCTCCAAGTTTGCCCAAGACTCTAGAGGTTCTGAGAGAGTATTTTTACTAGCCACATAGGACAAAGCATGTAAAAAAGTATTTTAAAAATTGCATTGCATGCAAAAAGGTCAAGTCTAGATCCTAACCCCATGGACTTTATACTCCTTTTCTCATCCCTACTTTGTCTTGGGTAGACATATTCATGGATTTTGTACTTGGACTTCCAAGGATAAAGTAGGAAATGAAATCCATCTTCGTGGTAGTGGACTGATTTTTAAAAATATTCCATTTTATTCCCTGCCACAAGACGGATGATGCGTGCCTGATTGCAAATCTCCTCGTTACATGGTGTATGATGGTCTCTTATACTGGAAGGGTAGATTGGTTCTCCCTGATGATCCTTCTCTCAAACAACAAATCGTACATGAATATCACAATTCGTTATTTGGTGGCCATGCAGGATATACAAGGACATTGGCTCCAACTACTGCCCAATTTCATTAACAGGGCATACATAAGTTCATCAAGGATTATGTTAAAAAATTGCTTAGTGTGTCAACAGGAAAAAACTGCCACTACGGCTCCCACAGTGCAGCCATTACCTATTCCAAATCAGGTTTGGGAAGATCTTGTCATGGACTTCATCACTAGGTTGCCCTTGTCCCATGGTTACACAATCATTATGGTTGTAGTAGATAGACTATCCAAGTATTCTCATTTCTCTGGTCTGAAGGTTGATTATTCTAACAAGGTTGTAGTTGAAATTTTCATGAATATAATGGTCAAATTACATGGATTTCCCAAGACAATTGTTTCTGACAAAGATAAAGTCTTTACTTGTCAATTTTGGTAACACTTGTTTAAATTGAGTGACACATCACTAAACAAGTCTACAATTTATCATCCATTGTCTGATGGTCAATCAAAAGTTGTCAATAAATGCCTCAAAATGTATTTTAGATGCTTTGCATTTGATAGTCCTAAGGAGTGGTATAAGTTACTACCATGGGCAGAATATTAGTACGACATAACTTATCATACTAGTATTGGTATGACTCCTTTTTGGGTTGTTTATGATAGAGAACCTCCTCAACTATTGAGATACACTCTTAATGTCCATGATTCATCTTTAGTGCAAGATCAACTCATGCTCAGAGATGCTACTTTAGCTAAGTTGAAGAGTGATTTACAAAGAGCTCAATAGGTGATGAAGAAGAAATATGCTGATGAGAAAAGACTTCCTACGGAGTTTACTATTGGTGATATGGTTTTGGTGAAGTTTCAACCTTATAGGCAACACATTGTTGCTTTGAGGAAGAATCAGAGGCTAAGTTGAAGGTACTTTGGCTTTTTCTTCTTGTGGTGGAGAGAATTGGTGTTGTTGCATATAAGTTAGTATTGTTTACCTTAACCAAGATCCATCTGGTGTTTTATGCCTCACAACTCAAACTTTGCCATAAAAATCATACTCAATCTTATGTTCCTTTACCATTCACTTTTAATGAACAATCACCCGTCATTCAACCACTAGCTATCCTGCAAGATCGTGTTATTCTCAAGGGACAAAAATAGGTTAAATAATTATTAATTCAATGGGAAGGTCTTAATGAATCTTAGATAACATGGAAAGATAGGGATGCATTTGTAATCACATATCCATCGTTCATTGAGGACAATATTATTTTTAAAGGGGAGGAATTGTAATGAATAAAAATGGTATGGGACTCGAATTAAAGACTGATAAGCAAAGGAGGAATCCTGGACACGTGACACATGATCCTCAAGAAACTAAGTCGAGGAGAAGCATGCACGAGAAATTTACTAACTCAAAATTGTGTGGGTTTGTGTGTTGACAAAGAGGGTATAAATATTCTATTAAAGGAAAGAGAGAAGGAAAAAAAAAAGGTAAACAACTACTCTTCTCTCTCGAGAGAATCTATTCTTCTGTTGGTGAAAATATTCTCTTGTTATGTTTTCTTTTACTCTATCGTCATGTCTATTCACGTATCATGGATGAATAGTGTGACCATTGGCATTAATAATACCAATTTCATTGATTGACGACTTCACTACATCATTTACTCTGCTACTTTATGCGTACTCCAGTTTTATACATAACATATTATTGTAGTACATAGATTTATTTTTTTAAGAGAAAAAAAAGATGTAACATGCACAATGATCAATTTTTCTCCCTAATTGAACAGTAATGTAATAAACATGGTGATAATGAGAAAAAATTAATGTGTTTAGAAATTTATTTTAGGAAATATGAAATTATTCATCAAACATAATATAAGAACCCTTTAATTAAATAAAAGAGTAGAGAAGACCATGTATCAACATATTTTAAATGTGACACATCACTATATTTTTTGAAAATATTTCCTTTTCACTAATAAAAAGACACTTTTCTCACCAACAAGAAAAACACATTTTTCTAAGTACTCAATTAACATCATCACTAATTTCAAACAGGTACAAATGCCAATCTTTCGTGTTTTTTTAGGGGATAATGGTCCCTCAAATTTTTTTAAATTACTTTTCTAAATTTGTTCGAAATATTTAAATTTAATAATTTATGTTAGTTTAAAAAATATTATATATATAATTTTGAATCTGTTAATTTTTTTATAAATATTAAAATAAATAATTAAATATATAATAAAAGAAATTAAAACAGTAAATTAAATAAAAAAATTATAAATTTTATATTTTTTTCACCTTTTCATATTCTCTTAATAGTTTATTTGATTTTCTAATTTTAAATTTATCTTTTTAAATTTATCTTTTTAAATCTCTTCTTCATACTAGTCTACACTTAAAACTATAATTACAAATTCATATGTTATTTTAGATTCCAAAATTATCGGTCAAATCAGACGAAAAAACCTCTTATGAAATGATAATATGGGAAGGGGAAGTCCTATAATCACTTGTGGGGGTATTTATTTTTCTTAATTATGCTTATAAATAAAGTCAACCTGAAGATAAGTTTTCAGTAAACTATGAAATTTGAATGTTCTTTACGAATAAAAAAGTGATAAACAAGATGTAATTAACAAACAAGAGTCACAGTTGGTGTTCCGTCACCCATGATTGAGGTCGGTATTTGCTGGAATACATTATTCAGAGAGCGAATAGAAAATAATTATACTTAAAGTATATAAAAATGAGATGTGATTTTTCAAGGAGTATACTGAACTTTATAATCAATCTATACAACTAAGTCAATTATTTTTATGACTAAATTAACTAATTTATAACTATCATTTTATATCTCTAGTAGTAGTATCCCAAAAATTGGAAGGTGTGTACAACACTTCTAGCAGCTGAAAATAGTGAAATATGCAGCCTCCTACCTACAAGTAGGCTAGTACAAATAACTAATCACTTGCATATTATGTTTACTTGTTCATATTGGAATCTCATAAACAAATTATGAAATGCAATATCATAATAGTTTGGAAAGCGTATTCTATTGAAACAAAACGAATTATCTATCATGACTGAAAAATGTTAAAATGCTGAGTTGAAAGCAGGTCCACCAACATCTAATGACTCAATTGAATATGGTTACCAAATACAGCAAAATTCATAACATACCCCAGTTATTTGAAGAGGGTAAAAATATGTCAGAAAATATAACTAGCTTTCAAAGTTTCACTTGAAATAATTGGTCAGCACAAAATGCTACAATAATGGGACCTGCCAAATCACCAGCAGCACACCCTGAATAAAAAGAAGACACGATTAAGCTTATTGAAGTGAAACAAAGAATCAACTCAAGGTTTTGTTTAGATGAGTTTTCAACACAGATAAATTTTTCAGTGATTAAGTATATAGGAGAAGAAAATTAGAAAGAAAAGTAAAATAAATTTCAAATACAAGTTAAATTGACTTAAAATTTAAAACAAGTTTTTCAAGTAATTAAGTATGTTCTGTTTAGATAAACTTTCCTAAAAGTATTTATAAGGGAAAAAAATGAAAAAATACTTATATTTACGAAAATTAGCGTATGCATAAGTGAAAAATAAACTTTTTTAATAAGCTAATATATAAAGAATACAAAAATAAGCCATTTTCCAGGGGAGAAATCATTTTTCCTTCTTATTTTCTTCTATTTTATAAGTACTTATAGAGAAATTCATCTAAGAGACTCTAAATGAGAGATTTATAAAATAATTTATTTAAAAATTAATTTTAATTTATGACAGTATATTCCATTTTTTCTTATTATTTTCTTCTCTTTTAAGTACTTGTAGAAAAGTTTATCCCCATAAAAACCTTAAATTACAAAATTCAAGTAATATGCAACAATCTTATAATTCTCCGAATGTGAAGTTATAATCTTACCAATCCACTGGCCGAGCGATGGACGAACAAAGGTTGCACCGATTCCTGCTCCTATGGAGGCAAAAATTAAAGATGAAGTACATCTAACTGTAGTGATGAAAATCTTCTGTCCAAGAACTCCAACTTCATTCGTTTTATCAGCACCATTATCCTTGTTCTGCACCTTGAATGCCGACGAAAAGTATCGATATAAGTCAATGCCAACTTGGACAAGCCATGATGCTGCAACCCCAAGCATGTGTCCTGTACATAACAAAAGAAAGTCAGCGCAAGCTAGTTGATTAAGTCAAAAGCTTAGGGAATCTCATGATGAAAATATATAATTCATGGACTATTTGACCTCTGAATGTTGTTCTGCTCACACAATAGAAATAAACCACAGTAGGCATGCTCCTTCCAGCCTTGCGAGTTGCTGATCTAGGGATATCTGTTTGGGAAATTTGAAAAAACTAACTACATGTAAGATCTCTTGGAGAGCTCAGAATATAAAACAACCATCTCTATGGCTCAAAGACTTTAATTGATTTTGCCTGTAGTAAATATGAACAGTTTTATCAGCATACCTTTAAGAAGTTTCCATGCCATTCTTTGTGAAACATAATGCACAGCAATTCTTTCTAAAATTCTTCTAGTAGTCACAACGGTTGACTGTTATGGCACCCAAGACATTTAAATCAAAAAGCTTTAAATATGTCGATCCACACATAGAAGAGCAAAAATTCAGAAGTCAAAATTTATTTGATAAGGATACTCCTATAATGAGTGTACATGTAGATTATTTTATATAACAAATAATACAACACAGACGGGACATTTGAAGCACACATCAATTTTGACTGCATTAATCCTCTCAATTTTATTCCTAGAGATTATTAGATACCCAGTTAATTAGATTATCTGACCGGTGACATACTGATAAAAAAAAGGAATATCAACATACTCAGACAGGGACTGCTTACAATCAACAAGATTAAGCGTATTGATGGAAGACAAAGGGGACAACTACACAGTTAAATGTCAATTTGTTTCTTCTTGTTGTCAAATGAGCACTGTTCATATAGTGAAAATATTATACTATCATGCGACAGGTATTGGTGAGTGGATTCTAGGGTTAGAATTTATTTTTACTTAAATTCTGTACATTGAGAGGTTTAACAGCTTTAACAGCAGTCAGCTCTTTAAAACAATAGCAGTTTTACTGTATATTCCCTGGTCGTTACTTAGACCAAAGTTGATATCATTGGTATTTTCATGACCAAGCCCAGCGACATGAAGATCTAAGTAAAGTGCAGCTAAAAGAGACAGCAAATATAGATCATAATGGTTGATTTTATTACTTGCAACTTTTTTTAATTATTTATTTATAAATCTTTGTAAGGATTTATTATAGTTTAATTTTAGAAATTGTTTCATCTATTAAAGGAGGATCTTATCATTTGTTAGATTTGCTATTATTAGGATTTGTTTCCTATTACTTCTTCTTTTTTTAGCATGTTTTCCCTATAAATAGGAAGCTACATGATTCAGAAACACCAACTTGAATTTCAATGAAATGTAAGTTTTCTGTAATTCGGAAAGCTTCCATTTAATTCCATGAAAAAAGACTAAACATGATATTGTCAAGGCAACTTGTCGCCATTAGAATCTGATGACTAATCACGCACACATTTGTTGAGTGGTGCATTGCCCTTTCCCTATAAAATAAATTCCTAAACTCCTTTCCAATTCTTTACTCTCCCTAATTCTTGAATGTTAAAATTTCAACCATGGGGCTGTTACCCTAGAACAGTTTCATAATCAAAGCCTAATTCAATCCATATCAGTTATAGCAGCCTGTAGTAAGAGTTCCTAGGTAATACTAGGAATTGTATCAGAAAATTGGAAGCAAAATAAGAAATAAGAGTTTTATTGATCGAAAACACGTTGCTCTGAATCAGAAATAAGGTGATTGTTGAAGAAAAGAGAAGGTACAAAAACGGAACAAATCTCTCTCACCTACAGGATGTTCGAGGTTCCTGGCTCTCCACTCCTGAATCTCCCTACCCTTTCAATTCCCCTTCCCTCTCTTGTGTCCGTTGTTCCCCTTCTCAAATGCAGTTAGGACTTGGGTCTCCAAACAGTCAGTGTACACAGCCGAAACTGACCCATGTTCCTTTTCCCTTTGCTCACCCTTATTCCTTTGAATCTATGGGCCCAAATACTCAAAAAATGATGAGGTATAGATGTCATACACATATCTGATACTAATACACATACAATATGCCTAGAAACACATTTAGGGAGTATCCTCCATTTTTACTTTTTATGAAATGGTTGTAATCAAGGAGTGATTGGTGTAGCACCAAGGAAAAGATTAAAAAGGGAAAAAGTGGACTACTGTGGTTTGAACATAGAAAGGGATACCAAGTGAGAAGAGCAGATTGTATGGTTTTCAGCTTGACGAAGAAGTGAAGGAAACCAAGAAGGCGAATGGAGGAATTGATCAAGATGGACCTAGGGATGGCAATTAAACCCGTACCCGTGGGGACCGACCCATCCCCGCCCCGAGTTTGACGGGGAAAACCCGAGTTGACCGGGGGCGGGGTCGGGTTCGGGTTTTCCCCGCTTTAAAAAGTCGGGGGCGGGGGCGGGGATGGGTAATGCAATCCCCACCCCGACCCCGCCCCGTCCCGCCCCGACTTTATATTTAAATTTAAATTTTAAAATATTAATATTTTAAAAGTATTTCATTTTCTTTTTCTATTACATATAAGGTTATTTTTTTATATTTCACCAATTTTTATTTTTCTTCTACCCACTTTTTAATTTTTTTTATCTTTTTCAATCTTTTATATCAATTAATTTATTATATTATTCTCTCCCTTATCTTTTAGTTTTTCACATTTTCTTAGTCTCTCCCATCAATTTGTTTTCTTTTTCAATCTTTTCAACCAATTTGATGAACACAAAGTTAGTCTTTTTTCTTTATCTTTTTCTAAATATTTTACATCAATCTTAGTAGTAACTAATATTAGTTTATTTATAATTTATATTTATTATGTCATATTTTTTTATCTTATTATGCTTATTTATCATATATCAAATTTTATCTTAATAAAATAATTGCATTTTAAAGGATTAAAAGAAATTAATAATTTAAACTTTTATTACTTCAAACTAATTAAATAAGAATTAACTTATTAAATATTTTCTTATAAACTATATATTGACAACTTGAAAATGAATTAACTTATATGTATAATTAAATATTTGAATACAGTATTATAATAATAATGTTATAAATATTTAAATATTTGAATACAAGTGTTATAATAATAATAATAATAATAATGTTATAAATATTAGATATATATATATATATAAATAAAAAATAATTAAATATTTCTTTTACATATATATTTTAATATAAATATAATAAATTAAAATGTATATTTAATTAATAATAACTATAAATTATAAATATTTATTTATATAGAAAAATACACAATAAAATTAATTTATTATAAATATAATTATCTTTTTAAAAATAATATAAATCGGGGACGGGCGGGCGGGGAACCCGAAACCCAGCGGGACGGGGATGGGGACTTAATTCCTAACCCCGGCGGGGATCGGGGGCGGGGACGGGGATGGTTAAAAAAGTCGGGGGCGGGGACGGGGGAGACAAAACCCGCCCCCGCCCCGCCCCGTTGCCATGCCTAGATGGACCTTGTAGCAACTAATATTTTGGAAACGTTAGTCTTTAATTAGGCAAAATGAACTCGTATGAATGTATATAGCCAACATCACCTAGTGGGATAAGGCAGTTGTGGTTTTGAAGTTTATAGACTAACAACTTTAGGATAGACTCCAATACCTTGAATAAGATTAAAATTACATACGGCTCCAACACAGCTCTATATAATCCTCCATATCTTCAGAGCTATAATAAATTTATGATATTATTTAGTCAATAAGTAAAACTAATGATGGTCATTTTGACATATATTGGGGGAATATACGTAACTTTTGTAACATGTATATAAGGAACAGCATAAACTAATATGAGCAAGGGAAAGATACATTACAATGATTTTTGTTATGATCACACGCATGGTTTTAAATTGATATTCAAAAGTGATAACTTTGAATTGTGAATCATAACTTTGTATCGAATCATACAACTAAAAAATAGCCAAAAATTACTTCAAATATGTCATATAGATGGTATATAATGACAATATCCCCAATAAGTCTTAAAAAAAATCATTAGTTATGAGTTTGTGAACCAAACCTTTATTTATAAGAATGGAAAACGAAGTAATTAAATAGCTAAATAAAGTATATGCATTAAATAGTTGGTGAAAAATAAAGTACTGGAATAATCAATTAGGATAAGTTCACAAGGTTTCCTTCAATTCATTTTCACAAAACAATTTATAATCATGAGAGATGGCAACTAACTCGAACCAGCCCCAAATTTGATGGGAATACCTGCTTTGACCGAGTACAGGTATGGGTATTACCCTACTATCCATTGTAACTGATTACAATTACATCGAAATAAATTACACAAGGCAAAATTCACTTCATCATAATTAAGGTGCTCTCTATTGTAATCGACTACAACTTGGACTAGTTGATTACATAAGCTTAAGAAATATTTCTGGAAATCTCGTAAGTTAAATTAGAGCAATCTAACCAATTATATAAAGGGTTAGGGACAAAATAGGTTACAAAGGATGATAAGCTATGGTACCTTGCTGAGAAGAATGAAACCAAGGAAGAATATAATGAATTCCATGTGTTATGTACACATGAATAAGACATACAATAATAAATAATAAAATCAATATCCAATAATGAAAAATATTTGATAAGACATTGCCTTATTAAATCATATCATATCTCCCTATTTAATGTAATCAAATCATATCTCTAACATTCACCCTAAATCTAGAGTATATGTATTAAATATAACAAGTTTGTTACAAATATCATTAACACAAAACCCCTTCAGAGAATAATGTCTGCAAGTTGGTTGTTCGAACTGATAAAGTAAATAATGACAAATAAAACACTTCCCTCAAACCGAAGCAAATGTATAATGAGTCAACCCTATAATAAATGTCGAAGGGCACTCCCAAAAATCATTGAAAAGTAGAAACAGTACATGCTGGAAAATCATTGGTTGAGTAGTACCCGTCAAAAAAAAAATGGCAGTGAACACTACCCATTGAGGAAACATCCAAGTGAACACTACATGCAGGAAAAACATGTGGTAATAATACCTGCTAAAAACTTTGACAACAAACAGTACCAGTCAGAAAAATGTCTGACAGTGAACAACACCCACCAAAAAAACATTGGTGGTGAGAAAACAATACACGTCAGGGAAGCTTTGGAGCAAACGGTATCCATGGAAAAACATTGATGTTGAACATTAACCACTAAAAAATATCAGCAGTAAACAGTCCCACTGGAAAAACGTCAGCAGTGAAAACAGTACCAACATACACTGATTTAAAAAAAAAAAAAAAAAAAAAAAAAAAAAAAAAACTTACACCTCTGAGAAGTATATGGAAAGCACAAATTTGGATTCTCTTTTAGTTAGGTTTTCAATACCATGTTGAAAGGATTAGTGAAAAAAAAAGGTCATAGAGGATGGCACTGGTCAAGTACCATGTTGAAAAGAAGGAAATTGAAAAGGAATACAATGAATTTCATATGTTGTGTACACAAATGAGTATTCTTATTTATAATGAAGAAGATATACAATAATAAGGAACAAAATCAATATGTAATAACAAAAAATATTTAGTAAGATATTTCCCTATCAAATCATACCATATCTCCCTATTTAATGTAATTAAATCATATCGCTAACATTCTCCATCAAGTTGGAGCTGAAGCATATGTATCATATAAGACAAACTTGTTACAAATATTATTAACACAAGCCCTCTTGAAAGAATCATGCTACCAAGTTGTTTGTTGGAGATGATAAAGAAATAATGAAAAATGATAGGTTTAACAGTAACCAATTACACCTTTTACAATTTTTTTATGCACAGATGTTGGTTCTATCTCATTATATATATGTTAAATAAATGAGCTGTAAACACTTTTTTTTCCTATTGTAATAATGTTTACTTATTTCGGTCAGTTTGCTTATCTCAATAATATAAGTCAGTCATCGATTTACACTGATTTTAGATAGATTTGAACTCAAAATATAGTGGGTACATGATATTTGTTGATAGCAACTATGGGTATGATGATGGAATGTCATTTCTCATGTATTTGCCTTAAATACGATTCAGTAAATGAAATACAACTTGGTTCTACAGCAAATACGAAAATAGTTCTATTTCTCCTTATCACTGCTCTCTTTTCATGTTATGGTTCTGTTTTAACCTTTCATGGTTAAAACTATCTTTATTGAAGAGTGGTATATAGAGCAGTGTTCTTATTTAAACACAAATAAGGAATCAATAGCTTCGGGGAACAATGTCATATTTGTTTTTCTCTCCCTAGTTTTTCTTGAAAGAAACAATTTTGTTCATATGGCCATCACCTAAATTAAATATGAACTAAGAATGATTATGACTGTTATTTTAGTCTAGAGAAGGTTGTAGGTTCATTAAATTCCACATGTCAAAACAAAAACAAATAAATAGAAACAGTTGTCATCCTCAGTTAACATGTTTATCTATCTGTGTCTGAAATGAAGAGAGTATATTTATGAATTATATATGGAGTTACCTGAACTACTAGGTACATATAGCAGCTTAACAACATTGTCACCAATACTAAATAACAAATCACTCATAACAATTTCATACATTGTCCGTATATTGCAATATATAAAACCCTGAATATAAAAAAAATAAAATAAAATAAAATCTCACCTCACGTATTATTTGCTTCACTGATTTTTGGAAGGGAACAACCAGATCAACATGCTGCTCTTGATCCTCCTCCAAGAAATCCTCATCATCTTCCATTTCCGCACGGGGCTCCAAAAGAGGCAAATAAAACATCAAGAATGACCTAATGGAAGTCATTGCAAATGTCCTCAATTCAAAAGCAGAGAAGAGAGGTTTCAGTTCCACATTATACTGCTTGGTACTATATCTTAGTGCATCATATTTGTAATTCTTTTCAAAAGAACTTTGTATATTAGAAATGTAGTCTTCAGATAATGCTGCACCAGCATCAGAATATGCAACTGATGACCTGAAAATGAAATAATGATAGGAACCACGATATCAAACTAGAGAAATAGATAAACTAGTACTAATATGAATCACTGATCAGAAAAAAACTCCTCTATATAGTGGAATTATAGAAATCCAATAGAGAAAATACTAATGACTATGGATTGAATTAATCTTTTTACAAATATGGAAGAGAAACTAAGCAAGTAAAACCAAACAAGCACCTATATGATAAGAGCCAGCCGCTACTTAAAATCACCTCCCAAAACCTCAGAATAATTCCACACCTTTCATTTAGATACCTCCTTATCTGTGGTATACCCATTTTCGCTATCCCCTTTTGGCCTCAATACATGATTTCCGTGTCATCCTGCCCACTCTCTTACTGTCACATAACTATTTAGTTACTTTTCCCTCTTTGCAAACATGACTTACAGGCCTAACAAGTAATGTGACAGATGAAAAGGTTAAACCAAAGTAGGACAGACTTGTCTCTGCTACACATAAATCATGACACTTCAACAAACATCACAGCCTTTCCTTCTTATATTACTCCAAAACGTTAAAATCAGGTCAATAGTAGTTCCTTCAAATATGCTACTAAATCCCTTTATATAAATACAATAAATAAATAAATAACAATATCAGATTTCAGTGTATATATATATACACACACAAACAGCAATAATAACAAATCTTTGAGTATGGTCAAAATTAAAATTCAATAACATAAGAAAAGGGTTGCGGCAATAGGACAGACAATGAATTACTCATGCAAAATATCTTCTTTAGAAGAAATAGAAAGGAAAATCAAACAAACTTTCACAAAGTGTTTGATGAATGATGACTATAAGCCCTTTTAGCCACTACCTAGAATCTCCAGAAGTAACAATTATAATGGAATATATTCAACCTCTACAGAGCAAACTCCAATTTATGTCTTTTTAATGAAGCAGGAAGCATTCTCCGTCTCATATTATGATTTCTTCCCCAACCTGCGGTTAACTCTTTCTAGCAAACAATCATTATCATAACAACAAATAAATTGTTACACCAAAATGAGCACTATAATAACACTTTTTAAATCATAGAATTCTTAACTATTTCAAAAATAAATGGGAGTGTTGAATGGATTCAAATTTATAACAACGAACATAATTATGACCTACTAACCAGCAACACACACTAAAACTATCAACAACCCATTCATCAAAAATAAATAAATACCCCAAATTTTCACCATCCAGATAATCTTTAAATGTAGTCTGTATTGTAATCCACAGCCATACCCAAATCTTCAAAAGTAAAACCTATCATGTTTTCTCAGATTGTATCCTAGCCTAGATTAGAATCCTACAACACAACAAAGAACATCCCTAAAATACAAATCAATGCCTGTGTAGAAGAGTGGAGGTAGAGCATACCCAAACAAAGCCCTTGAGGCAAAACCAGTCCCCGCAGCAACAGATGCAGCAGCAGCAGTAGCAGCAGCAGAGGCGGAAAAAAAGGAACTGGAAGACTGAAATGCATGAGAAGAGTGCAATCCAGAGCTCAAGTTTTGGTTTTTCCTCCACAGATCTAGAAGTATAGCTATCCCTGCCATTGTTGGAACTTCCAATGGTTGGAAAGCCTACCCACACCGTTTACGCTGAGTTGACAGATTATAAGTGAAAACTCACCTAAATTTTAACAAATAAAAAATAATATCAATTCATAGTTTCACACACACAATGAAATGGGTGAAACTTGAGAGTGTTGTTTAATCCTATTACATAGACACATGCAATGAAGAATACAACATAGGAAATGAGATTAGTACTACAAATCTAATTATCTTACTCAGAACTGACATGGGTTTCAAAACAAGCCACATAGAATAGAAATACGAGACCCATAATAATAAACTCACCCTACTATTTACAAAAAGATGGAAATTGTAGAAGGAAAGATGAAAAACTAAAGTGAAGCAACTTAAAACACCCTTCCATGAACTTTGGAACACCAAAACTCCAAAATCAGTAAACCCATTTAATCAAACCCAAAACAATTTTAAACAACAACAAAACCAATAATTACGATCAAGTCAACAAGGTAAGGTGGGAAATGCTCACAGCGGCTGCGACGAGGTCGAGGTGGTCGTGGTGGCTGAGACGAGGGTGAGAGCTGAAAGGGGTTAGTGAAGTCTGCGAAACAAGAAGTGGAAATCAACGATTGTAAGATGCATTGCACCACCTGTTAGGAAATTTCGCTGGCTAAATTACACATTTTGTGTCCTCCTTTATTTTTTCAACATTATTAAAATAGTCATGATAATATGGTGAATATGATCAAAAAATATAATCATTATATTAAAAAAATTTGAAAAAAAAACTATTTTTAATATTTAGTCTTTTTTAAATATTTAATTTAATTTTCTATATTTTACATTTAATGTTTCATCAGCTTTAAATTAACATTGTCAATAAAATATTTATGATGAAAAATAGGTTAATATGGTTAAAAATATAATCTTTACATTAAAAAAAATGAAGAAATGAACGATGAAATTTACTGTTAAAGTTGTTTAATCTATTTTTAATATTTAGTCTTTTTAAAATATTTAATTTTTATTGGCTTAAAATTATCATTCTCAATAAAATATTTACGGTGAATATGATGCGACTTTTTATCATTGATTTTGATAAAATTAAAAAATATATTATTAATAAATAAATAATAAATAAATAAATAAATATGGAGAGATAATAAAATATAAAAAATAAGAGATAAAATTTATAAATATATAATGAGAAATGATTAAAAAAATAAAATTTGATTAAAAAATATAATCATTATATAAAAAAATTGAAGAAATAAATGGTAAAATTTACTATTAAAGTAGTTTAATTTATTTTTAATATTTAGTCTTTTTAAAATATTTAATTTAGTTTTTTTATATTTTACCATCAACTTAAAACTAACACTGTCAATGATGTTATCATGATAATGATTAAAAACTGTCACAAAACATTTATTTATACTTTAGATGTGATTATGTATTTTCGTTCGAGTAATTAATAAAAAAAATTACTTTATAAATAATGTTAAATTTTTCGTTGTCAATTCACTTACATGGCTTTATAAATTTTAATTGATGAAGAGATTTTGTTCGTTGATTCATTTTAATAAATTTTTTGCAACAAAAAAAAAGAAGTTTATCCAATCAAGAACTTGATTTTATTTTGAATATGCTATTCGGACAGGTGAAACAATCTAAATCTCTTTCAATCAATTAAAAAAAAACTCAAAGCATAAATGGAAAGTGATTGCATTTTGTAGTATTAGGATCAACATTTTTTTTTAAATTATAATATTTAATTATTAATTTATTTTTCTTTTTTTTATAAAATAGTTCAATTTTTTATAAATATATTTTTCATGATAAAAAGTGGAAAATCTCAAACAAAGAAAATGGATCTACAATAATCTTCAAGTTTTATATAGTGTGAACAAGAAGGAATACCTACTTATAATTAATACATGAAAAAATATCAAGAGTACGAACGTGTATCTAAAAAATCTTCAATTTTTATGTAATTTCAACAAGAATGAATATCTACTTACATTAACTTTCTAATAATTAAGAAATAATATACGAAAAAATATGATAACAAAAGAGAATAAAAATTATTTTATTACTCAAATTATGAGAGATAGTATACAGATATGACACTTTATATTAATTACTCAACAAGTAATTAAGGATTATTGAAATATCCTGATCATATCATAATGATATATGAGTTTTAATAGCATTGGTTCTTATTGATATTATATAGATATGTGTTATGTATCTTGACTCAAGAAAATTCTTATACTTAAAATTTAAGTATATGACATGATTCAATACTTGTAATGTATAAATTAGTTTTGTTATTCGTTTAGAATGAAAGAAAAACTTTGATAAGCTCTAAAAAAGATTCAAACGACGAGGTTTGAGAATAATTGGTCAAATATATATTATAACATATGAGGAACCTGTTGGCAAAATTTGGATCATGTATATATATGATATATAATTTAAATGTGTTAGAGTCATTATTTATTAAGCCAAATAATAAAGTGATCTGACTAAATTAAAGTTTTGGCTAAAGGCATATGTCATGAAAATAAAATTGTGTAGAGACCATTGAGCAATTTCTAATTTGATGAGGGCCAAATTGGAAATACTAAAACTTAAGTAATTAACCTAATTCTAGTTATCTAAAAGGTCATGGTCCCCTTCTGGGAGCACATAGACAGAACGTAAGTTTCATTCCTGTTCCTTTCTTTCTATCCCCATCAAGAGATAAAATCAAGAGGGAAATAAAGGTGCTTTTCAGTGGAAGACCATAAGATCAATATAGTGCTTCTACAAAGACATCATCGTTATGGCTAATTCGAGTACGCTTTCGCATTCAGGTTACGACATGTTTATCAGTATGAGATTATGTTTATGTTTGATCGTTAGAATCAAAATCAGGATTATTATTATTATTATTATTATTATTATTATTATTATTATTATTATTATTATTATTATTATTGTTTTTCCAACAATTGGTATCGGAGCCGCCCATATTTGATTCATGTCTCGTTTAATTTATAGAACCCTAATTATGAAAATTAGGATTAATTTTGTTTTAAATAATTCAAATTACCCAATTTTATGAACCCTAAGTGGAGAATAATCTCTAATTTTCGTGAATCCTAAAATTTAAATTTGGGGGTAAACTCCCCAATCTGATTCTGCTTGCTGATGGAACCGTGGAGGAAGCTATGGATTTTTCTTCTTCTTCGTTTTTTCCTTTTATTTGGTTTAAGTTTCAAGTTTTACTGAGAAAGAAATAGTGTTTCAAATTTCAATCTTTCTTGAATTGGGTTCTCTGTTCTTTTTTGAATATTTTGTTTTTATTTAATTTTATGGGTTTGGAATTGGGAGTGGTGTTTGTGGAGTTCCCAACACGAGAGAATATTAGGTAAATGGTTAATGTTTCCACAGGTATGACTTGTTCTTATTTAAGGAAAATTTGATGTTAAATTAGGGTTTGAGTGATTATTGTTTAATCCCCTTTTAGGGTTTAGAGCAGTATGCTAAAGAGACTCAGAACTATCTCTGTTTCATCCCTAGTGTGATTTTAGGGAGATGTTCATCCTTTATGTATTGGTGGAAAATGAGGCATTTTTTCATCCTTTGATTTATTCAAATGAGGTGTTCATTCCTAATGAGATTTTAGGGAGATGTTCATCCTTAGTAGAATTCTAATGAGGTGATTCTCTTTTGAATTAGTTTGCAAATATTAAATATTTGGTTTTGTTATATAAATAAAATATTCAATTTTTGATAGTTTAATATTTTTTGTGAGCAAATTGAGTCAAGAAGTCACCAAAGTAACTTCTCTTGAATTGGGCAGTTCATGAAAAATATTGAATGTTAGTGTTTGTGTATATTCATGCGAGTATTAGTCGACCCAAAGGAAGATTAATATTTGGCCGAATCGCATACACACTTGTAATGATAAACATGTGATAATTATAAAGATTTGCTTTGTCGATGATAAATCAATCCAAAGACTGGTTTGTTGTTGGACGTGCTTTATTGTCAATGTTTGATCATTACAACAAGATACCTCTAGCAGTTAATATTACTGTCCAAAGACTTGATATTGATGGTGCATTGGGTGTCTTGAGATGGGTTAAACCACTATTTGAATATATATTATTTATTTTTTATATAATGTGAGCATAATTAGTTTATTTCTCGTGTTCTAAATTCAGCTACAATTGCTTCGTATCCGCCAATTTAAATTTTGTTCCGGTCCTCAATGGAACAAATTTTAAGGACCGGAAAGAGAACATTGATATTGTTCTTGGTTGCATGGATATGGATCTTGCGTTAAGGACTGAGCAACCCCCTACTCCTACGGATTCAAGTACCTCTGAACAGAAAAGAGATTATGAGAAGTGGGATCGCTCAAATCGCATGAGTCTAATGATCATTAAGTGTGGCATCCCGGAGGTGTTTAGGGACACTGTTTCTGAAAACATCACAAGTGCCAAAGAATTTCTTGCTGAAATTGAGCAGCGCTTTGCAAAAAGTGATAAGGCGGAGGCAAGCACTCTTATTCAGAACTTGATATCCATGAAATATCAAGGCAAAGGAAATATCAGGGAGTACATTATGAGCATGTATAATATTGTTTTTAAACTCAAGACACTAAAGCTTGAACTCTCAGAAGACTTGCTCATTCATTTGGTGTTGATTTCTCTTCCTGCAATGTTTAATCAAATTAAGGTATCTTACAACTGTCAGAAGGATAAATGGTCTCTTAATGAGCTCATTTCACATTGCGTACAAGAGGAAAGATTAAAGCAAGACAAGACAGAAAGTGCTCATTTTGCAAGCACCTCCAAGGCTAAGGGCAAAAGAAAGAGATCAGAGGATCTCGAGAAAGAAGCTGCTAAGGGTCCAAAACAAAAGAAACAAACTCAAGAAAATAAATGTTTCTTTTGCAATAAGACTGGACACATAAAGAAGAAATGTGATAAATATCATGTTTGGCGTGAAAAGAAAGGGTTGCCTAA